TTATCGATTCGTGCACGAAAAACGTCAGATTATGTACCACAAAAACTATAAATACTACAGAAGTAATCAGTGCACTTTAAAATGGTTTCCACTTATATGGTAGAAGAAAGACAATTGTCTTAGATAGAGGCAGCTGTTTCACGTCATACGACTTCATGCAATTTGTAAAATATAAAAACGTTGAAAAAGTGAAGAGGTAAATACGTGTAGAAAGGGTTAATAGAGTCTGCGCTCACAGAACAATAAAGTGGTATCCGAGCGTTATGGTTCTTGATGAAGAACAGAAGGAAAGCATACATAAAAATTATCAAAAAAGTCGTAAAGATATTAAGGCAAAAGCTTCGGAATATAAGAAGGCCTTACAATCTCATAATATTACTTATGTTAATAATAAACAGTGGGCAACGGAACAGTATAAAAAGGGTGATTATGTATAATAATAAAAATAAAAAAATTTAACTCAACTGCAAACTCATGTAGGAAATTGGTCCCCAAATTGAAAGGTTCTTACCGGGTCTTTTAAGTCTTTTGAAATGCCAGATACGTCTTAGAGGATGTGGAACGTTTACAGCAGTCCAGAAAAGTTAACTCTTTTTCTCTTAAAATCAAGTGATCTAATGATTAGGATGCACGAATTGCATCAGGTTAACCTATTCGATACCTCTATTAGTGTTTGGTCATATATGTTTACAGTATTTATATTGAGATATTACAGGGTTTATTTGAATATTAGCTGTTAGTCTCAGTTTCCTATTTATTGTATTATATCTTTTAGTCATGGTTATGCTCTCCCTTCAGCACATAATTGGATGCATATCCTATCAGCTTATTTATTTAGATATTATGTTTATATACATAGATTGTGGCAAATACATGAAAATAAAATGAGATTCATTCGTGTAGTGAAATAACATTATATGTGAGCGCATCAACCCCCCCCCCCCCCCCTTAATCAAGCGCGAATTCGCAAACATGTGACTTACAATATTTCTTCGATCAAGGCGAAAAAGCAGCCAAAACGACTGAAAAGATTAATTAAGTTTATGGGCCGTAAATGGTCACTTAAATAAATGCTGAAAACCTTTTGGAACCATTTGCAAAACCTTGAACTAATTAACTAACGCAAAAAAACATGATGGACCGAATTTTTATCTGCGACCGTTTCTGAAGCGGATTGTGACTGGCGATGAAAAATGGGTCACTGGTGACAACATTGAGCGCAAACGTTAGGGGTCAAAGCTCGGGGAAGCGGCCAAGGGGGTGGCCAAAACCGGAAGGTTTTGCTGTTTGTTTGGTGGGATTGGCAAGGAATCATCTACTTCCTATAGTCAAACGCTCAATTCGACTCTCTACTGCCTGGAACCAAGTGATTACACTCTTTTTCTGTCTATGGCGAACGCGCTTAATGGTAAGAAGAGGCCTGCGAATATTGTCTCTCCGAGCTTTTTGCCAATAGGGACGTAGCCTTCTACGAAAGAAGTATAATAAGAATCTTGTCGGCAATAAGTTTACCTTGCAAATTTGACTTCAATCAGACATATGTACACAAAGTTATCATATTTTGAAAACTCAATAGAAAAAACCGAACGAACCTCTTACTTGACCTAATATTTGGAAATTTTGAAACTACTATAGACTATATGCTTTCGATAGCATGTCAATTACTTGCAAATTAGAAATTGATTTTTGAGTGCGGAAAAGGTTGATGTTTTAGATTGACCCGGCCATAGTTTTGACTTAAATCCTTTTGAAAACCTATGGAATATAGTTAAGACTGAAATTACAAGGAAAAATTTTAAACAACGGGATGTTTATTGGTTTGTCGTTCTGGAAGCAAGTCAAGCGTCCAAAACTCGTGGGAACTATAGGTCGTGGTAGGATATAAAGCAATCGTTGCAAAATGCAGGCTATAGTACATACTATAAATTATATATAATGTGTTATTAATGCATTCTATTGTAATTTGAGCTTATAATGTGTGTAATAATGTGAACAACTTTTAGAAAAACTCCAAGAACTTGTTTGTTGGTGATATTTTTTACGACGCAAAAGCATGAGAAAACGTCTTAAAAAATGTGTCACCCATACATACATACATATATTCATAGCCCTATATGCAAGCGCTTGTAACTTGTGTGTAGTAATATGTTATTTAAGGAAAGCTTAATAACCATAGCAGGTAAGCAAAACAATAGTAAATTGTTATACCAACAATTATGAAATGCATATAAGTCCACATGTATGCGTGCATGTATGTATTTATATGTGCTATGTAATAACACTAAAGTAAAATTTTAAGAATGTACACATATATTCAATTTTATTACACTGATAGTAACTTTCTTCTTTTGCTTTGAATTATCAGGGAAACTTAAAGATAATACATCTCCGCAGCATTAACAGAGAAATGACGTGGATGCTCTTTTCACATCGAGTTATTGCTTGAGTTTTGATATACACGCTCGCAACGGAAGACCGATACCTAAAAAGAGCAAAAGAGCTAATTCAAATTAACCCATGGTACTAGCTTCCACCATCTGGTTACAAATTTGTGAGATTATCAGTACAACTTTGCTTCTACCAGCTGAGGCTGGTTGAAATACATAGATGATAATGCCTTTAAAGTGAGTGTGGACAGTGCCTAACGAATTGTCATCGCCGTTTCAGTGACAGTTGTTCTTGTTTTCGTATTATTCCCGCACGAAAATGTCCGTTTATGTGCCTAATTCTCGCCATTTGCGGGAAGTTTTACTTCTCTGTTACAATTCGAAAAAAAATGCGCTGAAGCGCATCGAATGCTCTCAGAAACTTACGGTGATGCTGCTCTGAGTGAAAGAACGTGTCGGGAGTGGTTTCAACGTTTTTAAAAATGGTGATTTCGATGTCGAAGATAAACATTGTTATGATTTGTATTTGGTGGGATCAGCTCGGTGTGATTTACTACGAGCTCTTAAAATCGGGTGAAAACATCACAGGAGATCGCTACCGAACGCAACTGATGCGCCTTCGTCGCGCGCTAAAAGAAAAGCGGCCACAATATCAAGAGCGACATGACAAAGTCATCTTCCAACATGACGATGTTCGCCCTCATGTCGCAAAAGTGGTCAAAAAGTACCTGGAAACGCTGAAATGGGAAGTCTTGCTCTTCCCCAGACTTCGCTCCTTCTGACTTCCACGTATTCCGTTCGGTGGCACACGGCCTGGCAGATCAACATTTTCAATCCTTCGAAGAATTGGAAAAATGATTGCTTCATGGATAGCGTCAAAAGAGGACTCCTTTTTTCGAGCCGGGATCCGAAAATTTCTGGAAAGATAGGAGAAAGTGGTCGCTAGCGATTGTCCTTGAATAATATATCTGTAAGCACTTTTTCGGAATAAAGCTTTTAATTTTGGGAAAAAACGGTGGAAGCAAAGTTATACACCTAATAAATTTGCCGATTGTTTCAATCAAGGATATTAAAATAATGGGTGATTTTTTAGCTATTATCTTTTTGGAAACACTGGCTAAAACATATGGCGCACGTTTCGAGTTTTATATCATTGCCAAACATCTTCAGTTTGGTCTATAATTTAACCACACAAACGAACACCGCTTGCAAATTATTGAATTTTATTATCAAAAGACGTGCTCTGTTAAGAAAGTTCATCGCGCGCTTCGAAGCTTATTTTTGGCAAAATGAGTGCATTAATAAGCAGAATTTTCGATTTTGGTGTGAAGATCTGCCAGAAGAATTGCAAGAGCTACGAATGCATCCAGAAAAAGGCACAGTTTGATGCGGCTTAAGGGCTGGTGGTATTTTTGGACCGTGCTTCTTCAAAGATGATGCGAATCGTAATGTAACCGTGAATGGTGAGCGCTACAGTAAGATGATATCAAACTTTTTTTTACCAAAAATGTAAGAGCTTGACTTTCATGACATATGGTTTCCACAGCACGCGTAACAATGGACTTCTTGAAAGGCGAGTTCGATGAATGTTTCATTTCACGATCGGACCTATATCGTGCGATTTAACACCTTTAGACTATTTTTTGTGGGACTATGTTAAATCTAATGTCTATACAGTCTATCCCGCTTTAACTAACGCATTGGAAGACTACATTGATGCATTTATTCGTGAGATACCGGACAAAGTGATGGAAAGGGTATGCCAAAATTGGACTAAGCGGATGTACCATTTGAGGCGCAGTCTCAGTCAACATTTGCATGAAATAATCCTCAAACATTAAATTATATGGACCGTATAATCGTATTTTTAATTTTTCCTATAGCTCTCGAAAATCACCGCGCCGCTAGCTTTCGATAAGCGCAATAACATCTATCTGTGAAGGCGCAATCAACAAGAAATGAGTTGTATGTCCAAGCTCAAGTGGCACAAAATTCACGAGTGCCCTATTCAAGACCTTTGGCAAAAGTTTTATAATGATATCCCACTACAGGCCGCTGCTCCATATATATTTAACCACTGTGTGATGGTACATATAATATACGCGCAATCTTTGTAGCATTGCCATTTGCAGCGATTCTATTGTGATCCAGAACTTGTAAGACTGTTATTTTCAAGAAAGTCGACGCTTAAATGAGACAGTGTTAATAAGCATGCCTTTGTAGTTTTCGAGTTCACAACCAATAAACTGAAGGCAGTTAGCAACTTGGCTATATGAGTAAATATTGTAATATTGCCCTGCATCCCAGAAATCACCCCTGAAGCACAAATCTCTAGGCCTGTGTAGACTGAAGAAACTAATATGAAGATGATAGAGTCACACTAGTTTTTCTTAATCTTGGGTTAGAAGTAAAATGTATACAAATTTTGGTATAATATTTGAATTCAGTCGTATTCGGTTGCACGTTGGGAGAGTTGAACGACTGACATAGTATATATACCTAAACTATTTTATACTGTTTTCATACAACAGTTATGTAGACAAAACTGAACTAACATACCCTGTTTACATTACTATACACACAAGTCTAATTCTGCATTTAAGGCATACTTACATACGGCGATATATTCAATGAAAGTAAAAAGCATCGCTTCGTTCATTTCCCCAATTGGAGATAATGGCATTTCCTCCAACCTGTACCTGCTATCATCCATATATATATCTCATTTTGAAGAACGTAATATTTCCCATATGATCCCGTTATTTTTGAAATATTTGCCTAAAATACAGCTGGCATATTAACATAACCTTTAGGTCTTCTTAATCATCATTCAAATACTCGATGCAGTAGCTCCCACTTACGCGATTGGGATTGCGTGAAGAAGTGTCATTCTCGATATCTCTATGCTTGTCGCAATGTCCAGGGTTCAATTGGCCGCGTTGTAAAATACCTTGGGTCAGTGGTTCACTCAAACTATTGATGCTCTCTAAATTATTAATATCAAGAGCGTTATCTTCAATAACATTGTACCAATCTTAATTTACGAGTAGTGTATTAGCTTTCATTGTCAAAGGATACGGTGTCAGTATTGTCATCATCTGCCTTGGACTTTGATATTGTTGCTGCTTATGATGGTCGAGTAGTTGCTTCTTTTGTAATTGCAGGACATATTTTGTTGTAAATTTAACATTAACAGGACTATGCCGTGCATAAGGCAAGTCCACCCTTACTCGTTGGCATGTAGATTCAAGCTCAGCGTGCATAACATTATGGTACAGTTAACCAATGAAATATATGTTTATTCGTTTTCAAACTCGTAGATGGGAGCTGTTGTTGCTGTCATTTGGTTGATTGCATACCACCTTAATCTCCAATTGACCGCTTATTCCACCTTCCATGTTGGCATTTTGTGGCAATTGCAATTATTGATCAAACGAATTGACAGTCTTTTTTACAAAATTCTGCCGATTCAGATTGGCATCAACTACACCGTGGGAGTCGATGTTCTTACTATTGTGCACGGATAATTTCGCTTTAAATCTAACCATGAGTAAATCAGCGGAATCATCATTGCCTTGTATAAAATCAGTGACAACAGTGCTTACGGCTCTCTTGTTTCTATCTTTATCAGTTTTCTTGAAATTATTTCGATACAGCTCATATATTTTATCATCACTCTCTTTTATAGAAACTGCAAAATGATTCTCTAAATTGCTACGGCTTGAGTCCTCACTATTTCTTTCCAACGTAAGGTCGAATTCTTCTGTGGTTACGAAGTATGTGTGTGCGTACATAAAAATGAAATAATCATAAATTACAATATTTTGCACAACACAATTATTTTTTTCTTTTTTATAGTTTGTATTTGCGGCTACGACATGCTTTAAACAACTATCAATTTTCAGACACAATCGTTTCTTCTTGAGACTTTTATCGCCGTTAACATCGCCAACGTTGTTATAGTGAACATCGGCGACGTTATCAAACCTATTTTTAATTTGTCTATCTAAATTTTGATTGCTTTGCTTATTGTTATTGCGACCTTGGTTTTCTAACTTATTCTTAAGCATATCTGGTGGCACACCGCAACCACTACTAGCAATAAGACGTTCTTGATCTCCTCTCGTGCGAGTTTGTAAAAACACCGATTTATTTTCCGGTTGGACTGTGTCTCCTACGCGAGCGACCGCTTCTGTGGAAGAAGAAAAACTTGTACAAGGATGTTTGTTTTCCTTCTTGACGATCGTTAAATTAGTTTTACACACAAAAATTTCGCTGGCGCGCACAACTCCGACCCTGGCAACGGCTGTATGCGTTGTTTCTATCTTTGTGACCACGCGTTCAATATGTTTTTGATTGGTGCCGATCCCATGTTGTAATTTTTTTATACCATTCGAATGTGTAATACAAATAATTTGATTTCGCCTCTCATTATGATGATGGTGTTGCCGATACTTTCGTTCATTTTTTATTTTTCCTGGATGATGTCACAACATATCATCATTTTCCGCTTCGTGATCGTGCTCGCCCTCGAGATCAAAATCATCATGGCCTAGATCTAAGTCCATATTAGTATCGTCGTCAAGGTCAAGGGAATGTTGATTTGTCGGCGAAAGTACTGACTGATGTTGCCGAGAATGCTGGTGCTGCTGGTACTGTTGGTTTTGGTGAAAATCGTAGTCATTACAAGTATTATTATTATTGTTATTATTGTTAATAAAATGATTTCCGCCATCAACATTGTTGCCCTGACGGTGTACGCCCATACCCTTCAAATCGTCATCACGCCATTTGTCCATGGAACGACGGCGGGCATTCATGAAGAAATTGCCAACGGTGGTTGGCTCTAAGCCCAACTGGCGGGCAATCGTAACTTGCATCTCCTTAGAAGGCCTTTTAGTTTCCTACAAGAAATATTCAGTTTTGTCTTTAATACATCAACATTTGAAAATGCATGACAATAAAAATATTTATAGGGGTTTGCACTTCTTTGTGATCTACATAAATCTGCTAACATCAGTATGTATGGATGAACTTGATATATTGTACAATAATTCTTCACCGAATTTTTTCGGTATGAACATTTTTAGGTATCAAATATTCTGTTCGATTAATATCTTTCGTTCTTTCATAATGTTAAAAAAATGTATTTATTTATATTGTCAATGCTGCATGTGTGCTGAAGTCGCCAAAACGTCAAACATATTATAAGCGGACAGTGCTCATTCAGAAATAAAGGGCGGATGTGGCATGACTTCTAATTTAGTTCTGTTAAATTTTACAGGTTTTTAAAAAATCTTGAAATCTACCGGAATCAGGATGAAGTAAACCGCATTTACGATTGACAAGTTCAGGACAATTTTTTCTTAATTTGTCTGTTGACCAAAATAAAGTTTTCCATAAATCGTTTGGCATATGGGAAACAGCTCAAAGTATATTAAAGCCTCGGAGTCCCACCACACTAAAAGCATAACCCGCTTTGGTAAATATAGTGATGACCCCATCTACCGGAGCTATTTTACCTTAAATTTAAGGTTAAACTTCTAATCGATATCCTTTTGTATCCATGTTTAATGCAGGTGCCACCCACTGCTATATATGTGTTATAAAATTACTTGAAAAAAATCAGTCAAATAGGAGCAAGTAATAATACAATTTATTGTAGAGAGGGCTGCAAATTTACATTTGCTGTAGACATTGACAATGATTTCTTTTTAGCTATTTGCGAGCAATTCTTGTGTATTTTTAAGACTTTTCGGACTATCTCGTGACTTACTGTTTTATGGCAATCATTTTCAATATCTAACGTCAATTTTCTGAGGACGGTTTGAGGATTATCACCGATCAGCTTTAAAATTTTTTAATGATCGCTTCTAGAAAGTTTCGGTGGTCCACCTTCTCTCTTTTTCTGCGCGTTTAATGATTTTATAAATCGTTCTAATCTTAATGGAAAACATTTTCGCTAATTCCTTAGCCGATTTCCTTTTGTGGTAGTTAAAATAAACTAATTGAATAAGATTTTCATCAGCTCGCTTGCCAGGCATTGTTAAATGCGCTAAATCAAGACGACCTGAACTGTCCAAAGCTTTAATCGAATTGAATGTAATAGAGCAACACATTGTTATAAGGCACGCGTTCACTCGTTCTCAAATTTGCGAACCGTTAAGTTAGCAACGTTTTATTTTGAATTGAGTGCGCATTTATCAAAGAATTAATTGACAACGCAATATTTGGCGAATTTTAAATTCGTTTTTTTTTACCGTTTGGTTTTAATGTTTGTTATTTCCGGGAGTGATCTTTGTTAAAAATACTTAGATTAACAACACCAATTAATAAAAAAAAAGGAAAATGAAATACTTTCATTTATAAAATAAAAATTGGAGAGATTTTTGTGGTTTTTTGTTTTGCAAACAATTAATTGAAATACTGTATTTTGACCATCCCAAATTCGCTTAATAATGGAATCGTTAACTTACTTTGAATATTGCTTGAAGTGTTCGCCTTTGTAGATCCGTAAATACCAATCGTGGCTTTTTTGGTTGAGGCATATGTTCTATATGGGGCTCTTCCTTACGACGGCACACTCCATTACCACCAAGATTGGTTACTAATATTGAAACAATATTTAATTACCAAGGTTCATTAGTAGTGTAAAATAGCACAGTAGCGGAAAAAATCAATTTTGAGTGTAGATAAATATTCACCTCCATTAGAATTATTGTTGGCAACAACACTCCCAGTACTTGCTATACTAACATCTGTGGAATTAGAAGCGGAGCTGTTACTGCCGCTGGTAGCGGTGCTGCTGCGTTGAGGTATTTGTGCGGCCGCCATTCGAAGAGCCGACATTCGTTGGAATTCTGGCTCTTGTAACCACTTGAACATACGTCGGAATGTCTCACGCCCAGATTTAAGCTTTGACCAAGGTTTTGGGTTACGCAGGAGATCAGAGAGTGTACCTTGTGATCGGCAAAGCACGCGTTGCGCAAATATCGCTTGTGGAATGCTATACCTCTTCAGTTCTGCCGATATGCGTTGTGCCAGCTCTTTGGTATTGATTTCCTCCAAGTTACTATTACCATTAAGACCACTTATACCAGAACTAGTACCAGATCCACCACCACCACCACCACTGCTATTACTGTTACTGCCGCGACCAATACCCGAGCCACTGGAGCTGGTGCTTCCATTCTTAATACCTGTTGCTTGTTGAAGACTTAACTGCAACTGTTGTTGTTGCTGCTCATTATTGAATTGTTGTTGTGCATTCTGGCGCTGCTGTATTACCAAATTACACATATTGTTATCCTTATGTAAATTTTCACCACTACCACTAATTACATTCGAAAGGCGCAAGTTAATGTTGTTACTCAGGTTACCACTATGCCTACTTTCGCTAGTTGCGGAATGCGACTGTTTACCGTCACCATGTTGATGTTGTGCTAAGTGCTGTTGTTGTGTTGTTACATGGAGTATATGGTGTTGCTCTTGTTGATGCATATGACCAATCGGATTATGAATGGTCAATAGATTGGTGGATGCCCCCATCAGATCATTTGGCGAGGGCGTTGGAGTTAGTGAAACTGCTACTGTATCACGATCCACCAACGAGGAGATATCAGTTATAACCCTGCTACCATGAGAAGCAGCGGATAGTGTGGCCATAGCTCCACTTATGGGTGGCAACGTTACCACCGGCTGATTTACCATACTACAACTTTCTGGTGAATTTAATGACACTGAACTCGCTGCCACAGAGTGCGGACTCAATACAGGACTGCGCTGTAACTGCAAGTGGGAACTTTTTCCACCAGACGTTGACGAAGAGGTTGGCGTTTTGGTAACAAAGAGATCTTTCCGATGTGTGTTAAATGGTGATTCGTAGCCAGTTGCAACAGCATTCTCCTCGACAACCGTTTCATTTCCGATTGTAACGGACGGGGAAATACATATAACTTGTTTCTGTGAATCAGACTGACGAATTTGTAAAGACGTGTCCCCAGTGGTAAGGCAGCCATTGCTGCAGACACGGCCAGATATAACACCAATGCTGGTTGTTTTGCAAGTCGATGACAGAGTAGGAGAATGTAATTCCGTGGTATGACTATAGGGAGATTGTGGTGATAGGCCGTCGCAAGGACTACGTGATGCAGTGTGTAGTTCACAAGCCACCACCATGCTGGATAATGTATGAGAAGGTGAGGTTGTATAATTGTGCGGCGGTGACATTGTCATACCCATGGATGGAAGTTTGTCATATGATGAGTATGGCGATTGTACGCCGCTAAGGCTGCTTAAGCTAAGTCCACCAAGACTACTCTGATGCTGTATTGCCTCAAATGGTCCAACTCCACCCGATGATGAATTGCTGTTACTGCTAGCACCGCCACCACTTACGCCGACACCGACACCATTACCATTTATGTGGCCACCGTAAGCGAACTTATCCGACATGGTCGAAATAGGTGGTAGAGGTTGCAAAGGCGTCAAAGTCGCATAAGACGATGCAGGACTGAAGCTTGGTGGAGATATCCGTTCATTCACTGACGTCAAGGTTGGATAAGTGGTTGGCTCTAACGAGTTATCTCCTATGATGCCAACACTGCCAACACCTAGCTCCGGACTAAGCATATGTGTAGCCGTATCGCGGGAATCATCATGCTGCTGTACAATTACTGACAGCGCCCCATGATGGCACGTTTGATCGTGCTGATGATCGCTTTCGTCTTGAACAGAATGTTGAGGATTTCGATGTTTGGGTCCAACTCCGACCTGCTGCCCGTGATTTGACTGTTGTTCATGTTGCTGCGAATAATGAGATAGTACATTACCACCATTCCTGTCGCTGCATCTACTAACATACTGGTGTTGATGCAAGTTCTGTTGTTGTTGTTGTACATGTTGATGGTGGTGTTGATTTAGCGTCACTTCAACGGAATCCGACGAAATATCATCAATTACATCTACTCCGACATTGACACCAACATCAATGTGACTTGCGTCTAGTGCCCCGCAATCAATGCTTTGATGCATACCATTAGTATTTTCAGATATCCTCTTGACAATCCTATTAATCATATCACGCTCATGTAGTACTATTACTTTTTCTTCCTGTTTAACACCTATGATGTTTGCAACGCTGCCTGAGTTTGGCGAAGAACAAACTGACAATTCATTAAGGGTAACATCCGAGTCAGCAAATTCCACGGGACTGTCGTTGTGTAAACGATTTTTATGACATTGGTGCTGATGGAGCTGAAGGCTATGTTGCTGTTGAGCTTGGAGCCCATTTGTCATTTGCGATAATTGCTGATGAGACATCACCATCTTCTCTTGTGATTGATGGTGGTTATGGTTTTGGTGGTGATGATGGGCTTGTTGCTGATGATGGCTTTCGCGGTGCTTATGTTGTTGTTGTTGCATTTGCAATTGTTGCTCATGTTCCCTTTCATCAGAACCAGTTGTTGATGGTTGAAACGTCGTATGTACCGGGCTATGGCTTAGGCCATCTATGATTGTGCGTACCATTACCACTGGACCGGCACCCACTACATCCGTAATAGTACCATCACTAGTTGTTACTACCGTATGAGCAACCACATTATGATCATCTATGACGACGTCATGCCTTGACAAATCTGGGGCCAACGTGGAAGATGGCTTTGATTGCCCAATAACCAGTGCTGAATTAAGTGCCGATAACGTGTGATTAACACAAGCGTCAGCGCCAGCGCCAACGTCGGCCTCACAACTCTCAGACATTGTGGTTTCAGCAGTGGTTATCACCTCGTTGTCATCGTCCAGTTGATTAGTGAGCGACTGGTGGTCGATTATATCCGTTATCGATTCAATGCTCATCTTGATGATTGAATTGCGTAAATTTTTCATAAATGAATACCATTCGCAACCAATTTGATAAGATTACTTTAAGAAATTACGGAACTTAAGTGATACCTGCAAAACGAGACGTATAAGAATATACTATAGGTTGAATTCGTCTTCCACTAAAAAACCAATTCGACTTTCTTAAAATTAGGCACATCTGAAAAATATAAAGTGGGTTAGTGCTTCAAATAACATAATTAACCAGTTTTATAATAAAAGCAGGATACTGTTTCTATACAACTTTTCTAGTAGAATTCAAATTAATCTTAATTATATTGGGCTTAGAATAGCCTTAGAGAAACTATAGGTCACATATGACGAAATACGAATTTACACCATTTTTTAGCAAATGTGAAGAAATAAATTAAATTTACCTTCCTAAACTCGAACATTTTTCATCGACATCGACAGTGCTTTATCGCATCGCGTAATGTGTAAAATTAATATTATGCTCGTTACAATGAAAGGTTTGATTAAACTTTATCATTAAAAAATTTGAATTTGAGTTAGCGTTGGATTCATGGACTGAAAATTTATTTTTACAAAAAAAACCCTATTTAGCGTTACATTTTTTAAGGACGCTATTTTAAAATCAGATTCTTGGGACTGAACTCAATTAACGGTGAAAAATGTACAAGAAAAGTTTCATATATTTTTCTCATTAAGTAAGTAATTGATATAATTTTTGCAATTACTACTTGCTTAGTCTGTAAGCAGTTTAAGGACATGTAATACAATATAATATATACATAGATATACATATTTGTAAAGTAGGGCAGTACTGGTGAGTAACAACGTTCGCATCGACCGATCATGAAGTAGGTGGTAAGCTGACGTCTGTACGGAACAGACGTAACCAGCCGAATAGCAGCAGAGGTATCAACAGATGCAGCAACGCAGAACTCGAAATCAACTTTATTTTTTACTGAAATACAGCTACAACAAAATATGAATTTTGTTTATGGACGTAGAAAAGACACAGAGCAAATCGGGAAACGACCTTGTTGATGAGCAGGCGCAAAAAAAAAGCGGTGGGAAACAAAGCAGCCATGGAGAATTTACGTGAGCTGATAAAACTTTTTTCATCTAAGCTGAACCAGCCCTTTGAGAGCAGTAACAGCACTTCGAGGCAAAGTTTCGCAAAAATTATCCCCGAATTCAATGATGTATCGATTACAGTAGTAACAAGTTGACTGGAACTGCAAAATTTGTTTTATAATTGAGGATCATTTCCAACTTAAATAAAAAATTTAGCAGCGCTGAAGTACGCATGCTTGTGGGCCGAAAAAACGAGAGCAAACATTTTCATGAGAACGCATTGTAAATGAGAGAGATAGCGGTTATGGGTCAAGTGACCGAGCAATCGACTATTCATTTCATTGTAGATGGATTACACTGAAACTACCTATTTTACATACCTCAGAGCCGAAACACCCGTCTGGAAGAGCGATATGCATTCACGAGTTATCGACGCTGCTAACAGTGACTAAATATTGCCAGCTGCTATTGTGTTAGCATACTTTTAAACAAATTTATTTATTTTTAAGTGCAACGGCAGCAGGCACACGACGAAAGACTACGATAAGTATGAAAAAAGTGGAATAGTTACTAAAATTACTAAAAAGAATGAGTAAAGGTTATGACAACAAATAGCTTGTCTCGTTGATATAGGCGCCGACAGCATTTAATTTACAGGAAAGTCAGAAGCGTAAAAGCCTTCCTGGGGTTAACAGGTTATTGTCATAAATAATAGCAAACATCGCCCTGTAAATTTTTTCTTGCATTAAAGTGACGTCGGCGGCTGTATCAATGAGACAAGCTAGTTGTTTACCCTTAAGTGTCAAAATTGCCTTTACTCCTTCTTTTTCAGTAATGTCGTCTGTTCCCCTTTTTTCTTTATACTTATCGCCGCTGCCGTAGCATTTGAAAAGTTTTGTTGGCACTTTGCGCCCTCCCCGTTTATGGCTTAGCGATCCACAGATGAAGCTTCCGTTTGTTTGATTTTTGTCCACTCGCACGTATGCTCTTTTGTTTATTTTTTTTCGTCGTTTTCGCCATAGTGTTCGCTACTGGCTAATTTGAGAAGCTCATACTTTTCTCATAGTTTTTTGTGTGTTGCTGCACTATTTAATTGGAACGTAAGTTCTGGTTTCAAGGATAGTCCATCAACAATGTAACGAATAGTCGAATTCTCGACCACTTGACCCATGGCCGTTATCTTCCCCTTTTGCAATGCGTACTCATGAAAATGGTCTCCTGTTTTTTCGGCTCACAAGCATTCTGCGTACTTTAGCCCTGCTCAATATTTTATCTTATTCATCTTAAAGAGCGCTTTTTAAGCCTTCCTAGCTCGAAAATGTCACCGATTCGCCGTTTCAGTCATCTTGACGTGTACTTTTGTTTTTCGTTAAGTTCATACGTTTCTGCCTTTTGGTTGAAGTTTTCCTGCCATTGTCCTACTGTAAATGACACATTATTGAATTTGGGAATAATTTTTGTGAAATTTTCCACCGAAGTGTTGATCCTCCTCTCATTGTCCTTATCCAGCGTAGCGGAAAAAAATTTTATCAGCTCACCTAAATTTTCCATGACTGCTCTGTTTCCCTCCGCTGTTACTTGTACGTGATTTTCACCAGGGTCGTTTCCCGATTTGCTCTGTGCCTTTCCTTGAAGTCTTGTTTCCACTGCGCTCTCATCTACGTTCATAACCAATATTTACGCTATCTCGCTTCTCTCTGAAGCTTTGCTATGGATTGTGGCTTAGGTTGAGCCACCAAAATGTACAGTAACGTAATTTATTATAATATATTTCAACAACAAATTAATAGAGTGGAATCTTATGAGTTTAAATCATATAGAAGGTAAAGTTAATTTCAAATGCTGTCCTGCTACTAAGCGGCTGGTTATGTCGTGTTGGCTTACTTCTAATTTTGGGAAACGGATTGACCGATTTTGATGAAATTTTAGATGCATATTCAATAGGTCTGAGAATTGGCTAGCATTTGTTTTTCACCTCGGGAAGAGAACCTGGAACTGATCTATACGAAAAAATTGAATATATTAATTTCGTTTTACTTGAAATTCGGTACATACGTGTATGTGTCTTTTTGCTTAGATTAATAGGAATACTGCAATTCACTCCGGTAAGTGGACCGTTGACTGACCTATTCAAAAGACTTCTTATGTCTGTTTGTAACGGGCGATTTCTAAAAGGGAGCGACCCATTGACTTGACATTTCATCAAATTATTTCTATGCTATCTGGGAAGTGTTTCTTGATAAAAAAAATATTCTGGAAGTGGACCAGGAACTCACCTATTCGGAAAAATTTTATTTAATGTTGGATTTACTTGAAATTCGGTACATAGTTGACATTTTGCTTAGATTTACAGGAAGACCACAATTCTCTCCGGAAAGCGGGCCGGGAACTGACCTATTCGAAAGAAATCTTATATGTAGTTCGATTTACTTGGCAATCGGTACTTTAGTGCATTTTTGCTTAGATTAATAAGAAGACTGCAATTCTCTCCGGGAAGTAGACCGAGGACTGACCCATTGAGGAACAAACTTATTGACAGTTCGATTTACTTGAAATTCGGAACAAAGGTGTCTTTTGACTTAGATTAACAGGAAGACTACAATTCTCTCCGAGAAGTGGGTAAGCGATTGTCCTATTCGAAAAAATTGTATTTTTTGCTCGATTCAATCGAAAATCACTACATAGGAAGCTTTTTATTTAGATTGACTGGAAGACTACTCTCTACTTCTCTCCCGAAACTGGGCCGGGGACTGACCTTTTCGAAAAATTCTTATTTATGGTTCGTCTTACTTGATATTCGGAACATTGGTGGCCTTTTGCTTAGATTAACAGACAGACTCTTCTTCTCTTCGGAAAGAGAACCAGGGATGGACTTATTCGAAAAAATTATGGTTCGATTTACTAGAAATTCGGTACATATGTGGCTTTTCTCTTGGATTGACGAGAAGCATAACGTACAGAATATACCAAGTCATAATTGGGAAGCATTTGTTTAAGGTCGAGATTTAAAACTGTTCAGCTGTGAAAAAACATTTATTTAACAGCTGAAAATAAATAATTATGGAATTTGAAATACTAAATATTGGGATTAGTAAGAATAGTTTTTTCAATACTAACAAGTAAGTGAAAGATCGTAGGTGGAGGGATGAAAATTAAAATTATGACACAATTGGCGAAAGGGTTCATTCTATTCATAGTTTGTTTTACATGACTTTAATAGTAAAGACCTTAACTGCTTAGATACAAAAGTTGGAACGTTATAGTTTACCTCAGATAAGAGCCATAAACTACAAATTGATCCGTTAAGAAGTTTCACTACAAACAATGCGTCTAACATTTCTCTACGAGTTGCAAGGTAGGTATATTCAGAAGCTTACCAACCATTGTACAGGAAGTAAGATTTATAGAAGAGTTCCATCGGAAATGTTTTAATACAAAAAGTAAATATCGTTTTTGAATAGACTCCAAGTTATCGGAATGAACCTAATAATTGGGGTTCCATATTAGTTAACCATATTCTAATTTTGGACTCACACAAATTCTAGACTATAGCTATTAATTGTATAAGGAAAAGGTTTAATAAGCCTCCGTGAACAGCACTTGATCTGATATTTCTTAAGGATCAAAGTCATGTCGTTTTCATCACACCAAATAGCTAAGTTGTCTAGCTCGTTTTTTAAATAAAGGTCTTTCTTGGAATGAGGCATATGACATAAAAAGTTTTACAGCATCGGCAAGAATGATGTTTGAAAGCTTTATTACCGAAGATATAACATCTGTGAATAATAGGAACAGAATCGTGCCAAGAAGGCTACTTTGAGGAACTCTTGATTAGACATTAATAATTTGTTAGAAAGTTTTTTTAAATGTTACCCCTTGAGTTCTATAGCAGAGATACGAGGAAACCCATTGAAGAAATTTCGGTTGATAGCCCAGAATATTTAGTTTATGGATGAGAAATGATTAATTAACCCTATCGGATGGTTTACTGAAGTCGGTGTAGATAACGTTAGTTTGCTTCTAACCTCTAAAGGCTATGTGCAATAAATTCAAGCAAATTTGTAAAGGTTGACTTTCCTTTAAAAAACCCGTTCTGGAAATTGGATAATAGTGAGGAAAGCGTTATCTGACTAGTAATGATTGCTTACTTACTTTACAGTCGTAGACACCGCTTACGCGATTATTGCCGACTGGCGGATACTACACAACTTTCAAAGCTGGAGTATTGGAATCCATCCGGACCAAATAACCTGGGCAGCATAGCCGCTGCTTCTTGATTCGCTGAACTATATCAATGTCACCCGAACAGCTCATATTCACCGTTCACAACGCGCGAAACTAACTAACTAACTAGAAAACTCTTAACATCGGCTATGCTTCCGCATCATATAGCAGGACGGTAACGGTGAGGGACTCTTAGAGTTCGGTTTTCGTTCGTCGGAAGAGGATTTTACTTTTCAATTGCCTCAGTTCAAAGTAGCACCTGTTGGCAAAAGTGATTCTGCGCTGGATTTTAAAGCTGACGTTATTATTGGTAGCCATGCTGGTTCCAGTATTGACGAAATTATCTACGTCTTCAAAGTTATGACTGTAACCAGTGACGTGTTTGTTTGATGACAGGAGATATTTCGTCTTGTCCTAGTTCACTACCAGACCCATTTGCCTACTTTATCAAGCCTGTAAAAAGCAGAACTAGCGACAAATAGTCACTCTGTTTGAAACCTAGCTGGGTACCGAACGGTGTTGTCTAGCGTCAGCTTACCTAGCCGTAGAGATGTTGCGAGGATACCAAAATCAGATAAAGTGACGTAAAGGGAGCTCCTTTTCGTGCTATCGAAAGCGGCTTTAAAATCGACGAATCACGTTTAATTCACGTTTAATTTCCAAGACTTGGCGCAAAGCGAATATCTGGTCATTGGTTGACTTACCAGGTCTGAAGCCACATTGATAAGGTCCAATCAGTTTGTTGACGGTGGGAATGGTGAGAACTGTGGGGTCGCCTTTTTATGAGTTTGGCAGAGTACACTTAAATTCCAATCGTCAGGCAGTTTCGAGAATTACCGTTGTCGGCCAGCTTCTCAAGCT